AGTTTCTGCCAAAAAATATACAAGTGACACCGGTCGATCGTGACGCGATGGCGTCGGCGGAGTCACGCATTGCGTAACCAGGACGAAGGATCGATTCGAGAGATCGGACCTCCTGCTTGAGGGGTTAGACCACCTTGATGTGTTCAAGAAATACCGTATTTTTGGGAATTTTTTTCTAAATGACAAAAACGATATTTTATCGCGATTTAACCCTTGGGTGGGCAAGCTATATTCACGGTTATTGAGCAATCGGAATACTCGTATTATGGCGGATTAAGTAAACAGATAATTTTATTTTCATACTTTTCCGACACTTTTTGTTTTCCTATTCTGTAATATACCAAGTGTTGTTTTAGACAAGAACATACAAAATTGTGAAAGGGAATGTAAAAATGGGTACCTGGTTGCCTACACAAGGTCTAAGGGGTAAAGGTTTTTTCATTTTTATCGAACGATAAATGTCCAATTAAATTGTTTGTAAATAAACTCGATACACATGTATTTATTTAGTCTTAAAATTAATTGCATAAAAGTGTCACTATTTCTAGTAACTTCTTTCAACTTTGATATGAATTCTGAGAGTCTGTACCTTTACAATTGTCATAAGAGTTCGATTTTTTTAAATTTCAAACTGTCATATCCTGTTGAATCGTAGGAAAAGTACACAGTTCCTGGGAATTTTCATGACGCGGTCAAGATTGACGCAATCATCGACAAATGTTTAGTTAGATTAAAAAGCACCGTGTCTTCGGCGCATTTTTCATTGAATAATACGTCTCAGGTGATCCGTTTGCGTTTAACGAGACAATAACGTGTTTTTTTATGACGTGCATCGTTATCGTTGTTTGCTTTATTAACGATACGACTGTCGTTCCGTGCGTGGCTAACGCCACAAAATGTGTTGTTAGTGTTATGCATGAGATATGGACCGATTTTGACGTGAATACTGATACAGTAATCGACAGAATGCCGATTTGCAATTTTATACGATGCACGTGCGCGTATGCAACACAGAATCGAGCAAAAAGATTCAGAAATTTTTTATTTAATACTATTTTTTCCTCGATAGTTAATTTGACACCTAATAGAGGGAATGGAATTAATTGATTAATTTAATGCTTTTATATGTGCTTTATGAATATTTATGTATAATATAAATTACATTTATATGTTAATTTTATTAAGTAAATTAATGTTCGTTTCCATTCTTATTAGTTAGCCTATAAATACGTGCACTTTTATAATTATCCACAGTCTAATAATATCAGCTATTCGTTCCAAGTCATTAATACTTTATTCAAAGATATTTTCCTTTCCAAGAAAATCCAGTGGAAAGGTTTATTCCAATCAGTCACTTCGAGTAACTAATAATTGATACAGATTGGGTAATTATTATTGACGAACCCTTGTACATTTAATTCACGATTCAGTCATTTAATTTTCATTAAAGTAAAGGTCAAAAGATTAAATTAACGAAGATATTTATGCGCGCAGATTTCTCATATCGAATATATTAAACAGAACAAAAATTATAAACTGGAACAAAAAATCATAGTTACAAAGATGACTGCAATTCAAGGTACATTGATTAATATAATACAAATTTGTATGATATAATTTATGAATCTATAAAGTGATTTTTGAAAAGTAAGTGTGATTTAATACTTTTTGTTTACCGTAGGAGTGTTGCAAAGATATTTTTGACGTATGTACCTCGAAACCTTTCAGTCTGTGGAATTGAAACGACCGATGTTAATTTTACCAAGAGTGCAACATTCGAATCAAAGTAAGGAGAAACATTTTGTACTAAATGTAAAAAGCACTGTCAGTTATTCGATTATTTTATTTCATCGGTTTTATTCAAATTCCTCGGTCGTGTGTTACACTCGATCACTGTTTTTAAATTATAAAGAGTCTAATAAAACGCGTGTCACTTTTTCCCCGAAAGATTTCAGTTACGGTTATACATTGACTTGTCTATCATTCGAGTAATATGCAGTAGAGGTGTCAGAATTTCTTTTCGTAGCACGTGAACGTGAAAAAGTATTTGATGGACTTAAGTGACTGGCATACGAAACAGTTGCATAGATCGTTGAAACGACAAAACAATATTGGAACAAGATTATACACTTCTATGGAAGTTTCGTCTATCAATTAGACATATAAGAAACTGTGAAATACGATAAATCACAACTTTTAAGACGAATGTAAATTATATAAATAAAAAAAAATACAAGTTCAAGATAACTTCTTATTTACATGTCTGAAAATAGCAAAAAAGAATTCGGATCGGGTTCGACCAGACCTTACCATTCGAGTAAGTTCCAATTCTAATTGTTCCTACGTTAATTTTGTCTAGAAACGGTCTTAACCGTCGGTTTTGGAAAAAAGAAAAAAATATAACACAATCCTTAGTCCATTTAAAATTCAACAAGATCCGTACAAATGCTGGTTTTCTTCGTATTGTAACGTTGGAACCTAGTCAAAGACTGCATTTCGAGACACACAAAAGGCTAAATTACACGTGTATGCGCGCTTATATATACTATTAATAAGAAATATATAGTATTAAAAAAGACTTAAAATAAATTCAACTATTCTATTACGGTTGGTCCATACAATCAAATCATTTTCATATCTAACATTTTTCTCGCAATTTCAATAATTACAGTGTGTACTACACGACTAATTACAAGATTCCAGAAATATATAAACATCCGCGGTCTACTTATGACTCAATCCAATAGTTGTCACTGCCCAACCGTGAGAAACGTGTACTGGTTGGTCCACCGTGACTTTCATCGATATCCGTGCATCGTGAGACACGTTCAAGGAAAATTTCGCGTGGGTAGATCCGCAGCTGAGCGTGTAACGCGCGCGTCTATCCCTCTCCTAACCCAGCTCGTTTCTCAGAGTCGCCTTCGCGGTTATTGCCTACTTACCGTTCGCTGACTAATGCATCCGCATCACCCCGGGCCGGTTCCGTTTCATCGAATCAGCAACAAATTATCGCGGTCAATTAGAATCTCGTTTAATAATTACACGGCGCGCCGATCGATTATGAAACAACGTTGTTAGGCGGGATTACCGTGTAACAAATCGATCGCACGTGGAATCTGCGTATGGCTTTGTGGTGGTCTCTGTTGCTCGTTAGTCCTGATTTTGCCGAGGATGAAATTATATTTTCAATTTTTTCTTATTATTATACGTACCTATATGCTATATTCGGATTACGTGTATACACTATTATTTCTATAATTATTGAAAATGCGAGAAAAATGTTACATATGAAAGTGATTTGATTGTATGGAGCAACCGTAATAGAATATTTGAATTTATTTTAATTCTTATTTAATATTATATATTTTTATTATTGCCATGTTATGAGGTATTTTAAGACAAATTCTTTTTTGGTTTGACCAGTAATGTCAAAAGAATTTCATTGTATTATGTTTCGCGGATTACACGTGATGGGAAAACGATGCTAAACGAATTTGACAAATTATTATTTAAATAATGTTAGCAACGTCGTTGAATTCGTCTTGAAATGCTTAATAACATTGAAATCTCTGTAACAATTAAAAAAATTAAAAAATTCTAGAGTACCAAAATATACGCTAAACACGAATACAAGAGAAAACTCGACTGTATAAAATATTAATAACATGCAAAGTTTATCGTAAATTATAAACGAAATTAGTTCCAGGTATATTTCGTCCCCTAGGCACGATGTCAACTTCAAACAGCTTTAATTCGCAGGCTATTAACGTAGCGATTACCTGTCGAGCACAGGAGGGTTAAAAAGTCCTTTGGCAATGTTATTGAAATTTAACTAAAAGAGTAGACGGTTATGCTAGGCAAGAAATTAAAATCGATTTAATTTTCACGCTATTGTGGGGACGGTGGCCATAGGTGAACGCTAGGTAAAACGTGTAATGAATTTGCGTTTTATACGGCCCGTACGTGTACCATACGTCTGTTCCTTCAGGTCGGTCATACATCCTTGACCATAATTGTTTCGAGTCCCTTTCGTACGTATTGCAAATTCTGCGAGGCATTACTATGCAACACGCGATAGAAGACCGCGTCTCACGTGTCGATAAACGAACCTCTCTCTGTAACAGCGCACGCCACCACGATGGAAACCGACATCCTTGGCGAAAATATACAGCAAAAAGTACGAAATGCGTCAAAAGACCGCAATTACGTCGAATATAATACCCCGAAACGAAATATTTGGAAAATTGATAGCTGCGTTCCATAATTTCCTCAATGTCCGGTGAAAATGTTAAAAGAAATGTTAAATCCAATTGCACGCACGTTTATGTAAATTTTCAATTTTCGGTATTAAACGCTGCCAGACCTCATAATTATTACGACGTTTAAAGACACGATGGGAATATCAATTAAACAGATTAAATGAAGAGAGTGAGAAACGAATGGTAATGTTTTCTACCACCATTTAAATGTTATCCATTATTTAGTACGTGAAAATTTATTAATATATATAATTAAATTTAAAAAAAAAACTTTGACACTTGTCGATTTACGGTGTTTTATTACTTTTTTGTGGATTTTATGCATTTATAGTATACGAGGTACCTTATAAGAAACAATAAATTTAAAAATAAAAACAATAAATTTTCTTCGTTTGGAGTTTCGTTTACGAGAAAATTGGGTTTCAACATTCATGTAAAACGCGTGTATATTCGTGCTGGCAGTAAGTAGATACTGCTTGTAATGAACAGACACAGTAGCCAAGTCTGATTCTACTGCCTGTGTATCAAACAAATTTTCAAGTTCGATTCTCTCGAAAACAAATAATGATCTAAAGTAATTTTATTCCTTTTTTTTTCGACTTATTTTTTCTAATAGAACCACACCTGCTCGGATGTAATAACCTAATAAATTAGTTTTTCAGCTCTCGACTGTACATTCTGTGACAATTAACAATTAGCGAACAACAGTTTTTCTAACTATGATTTTTTTTATTGTTACAGGCCTAGCCCGTGTGAACTACAAGACCCGTTGTGGGTCAAAATGAGTGCGATCACCGGCAGTATCACCAAGAAGAGAAAGAAGTCCGATGTCAAGCCTCAATCGCAAATGTGAGTAGAAACGATCAGTTTTGGTTATGAAATTCAATTATTACAATACCTATTTAAAGGTCTGGACATTAAAGGGTTCAAACAGTATTTAAAATACTTTCTCTCGAAATTGTGTCCAGCTCCGACCAAAGTATCCCCTGAATCGAAGTCGGTTTTCCTTCCTATCGAGATATAGAATTTCCATCATCCTACTCCTTACATCGTGGGGTGTGCACCACGCGCCTTACGGTCCGGTTTATTTTCGAATCACGGCTGCTTCTCTCATTCGCGACGACAATAAGTAGTTTTACGACCGTGAAAAGAACAAACACAAAAGTATTCTGTCACTGTCAATATTAATTATATACAAACTGGTTTCCAATCAATGAATACTTTGACAGATACATCCACGATCTTACTGTAAGTTTTAATCTATTATGCATAGATTGAACTAGTTTTTTTTGTGTTTGCGTTTTTCTAGTTGCGAATTTCTAGTATAGATGAATCCATCGATTCTGACCAGTCTAGAAGAATCTTATTAAGTGTATACAATCAAGATTTGTATTTTATCAACTCTGCATAGTGGTAGAAATTAACGATCTCGAACTAATGACACACCTATTATTATGCACATCGATCTATCTATTTGTCAGATTATTAAGGTTTATATTCAAAGCAATTTTAGTGGAAACTATTCAGTCAACGAACAAAAATTTATATCATGTCTGTGATTTAATTTTCTAAGTAATCATCTCGCCGATTGTACTGTTATTTTACTGGACACTCGGTATATCATGTGTGCACCGTGGACTCGAATTCGTGATCCCATAAACACGAGCTTCTGTCTCGTAAAAGTTAATTACTGCGAAATATTGGATATACTCTCTCATAGGTATCATCCCGTATAATTTTTACCGGAGCTCGTAAATATCGTATGAGATTGAATTCACGTGATCGGCCGTAAAATGACAACGTGCATTTCCGCATTTTAATACGAGAACTCCATTCCATATTCATCAGCCGCGTTACACGCATACAAGCGGCCGGTAATTATCCGGCTAAAATGCGACAAGTTAAGTGAATGTTTACCATGCGGTATGGGTCCATTTTAATTCGATACTTATCTAGTTCGTCGGGAAGTTAAATCATGCGTGTCCGTTTTCCGATGTCAGTGTCGCGAAGCGATAGTTCTCAAATCGGCAAGTCCCCCCGATCGTGCGCTTTAATTCATTTTTAAGTCGAATTTTCTATTTAAAAACGGCATTTTCTATTTAAGAATGGAATTTTCCATTTAACACATTCACAGCCACGTCAGTCACCGGTAACTGACATAGAACTTTCCGTTCATGCCGCGTCGATCACCGGTGAGCGTCATGTAAGGCAAATTCCAATGTCAAATAATACAGTCAGCGCGAACGGAATTATAAATGGATTTTTCTGTTTAAAAATTCAATTTTCTATTAAGAAATGGTAATTTTATATTGAACACTTGAATCTTCTATTTAAACATTTGAATTCTCTATTTAAAAACTTGAATTTTCAATTTGAGACCGGAATTTTCTACCATTTAAAATATGAATTTTCTATTTATAAATGGATATTTTTATTGTGCGAATAGTCATCATTTGACTGTGTATGTTTACGGTAATTTTCATAAATTAATTGAGAGGAAGAAGAAACATTCTGTTGAACTGTTTTTCCGCTTACGATGTATTTTATTTTTTATTATATTTTAAACTTCTTTATTGTTTTCTCATAATTCATTGAATTAAAGTGTAAAACTCGCAATATAGTTACGACTGAAGTGCAATCATTTTTCTGTAAATTAAATCACGGATATGAGACTTATCCAGAAATGAATTTCATCAATTATGAATTTTACTAGGACGACAGTAAAATAAGAAGTTGATTAAGCCCCGTACAAAGTCTTCATTTTATGGTGTTCTATAAATTAACGTATGTTGCAAAAGAATAAACATTAGCAGTTTACTTATTACTCAACGATCGATACGTTTAAACTATGTCTTCGGACTGGTAATTGCTCAATCGTTGAAAAAAAAAAGGCAAATAACTCGGTTGAATCATTCATATCCGATCAATTACAATAATCAAGATGTACATGAAAGAAGAATCATACGGATTACATAGTTCTTCCTAACAGATATGCTCGAGGAATTACTAAATAATTGCATAATAGCGACATAATAATACAAAACAGTTGCTATCTTGCATAAAACGAACTTAGTAGCTACATTTTACACGATGCTTTTTCTCTCTCTCTGTACATTACGTCGTTCCACTTCCTCGTTTACAATCTACAATTCTGCCCAAGAGCTTAATCAAATCGCCCAGAGCGTTGCAATATATTATGAATTGCGCTGAAATGTAACGGCGAGAGCCGGAAAGGTCAAGCTACGAGCGCAGAAACTAATATTCAATTCAGTTAACCGTAACTTCGAACTTCGTGATATATGTATGCATACATGTATATGTGCGTGTATCGCGAATTCATACATGTAGCTCGTAACTGGAACGACGAGAATTTCGCCATTAGAAAAATGATCAATTTTATAGTGTTGCACTAATTGGATTGGAATCGTATAAAAGAATTAAGGGAATTTGATATTACTGTCTATTCCATTGCCCGTTTTAAGTCAGTTTAAATAACATTTAGTCGATGTTACTGTCCAGGCACGTAATGGTTTTTTCTCATTATTACGCTGTTAATGTTTATACGAATATACAGTTTTATTAATAGTAATTCATTTGCTCTATTAAGGTCATTATTAGGCTCAAAATGAAATAGAAACCTCATTAAACGTTTTACCGTGATCAGTTTTGGACAATCAAGTGTGTAGTTTATTTGTCATTGGTAGACTGCGGATGTTTATGCACTTATGTTATGCATTAAAAGTTCTAGTAATATTTACGTATTATTATTAATATATTAATCTTTTGCAGTCGAGAGACGACTCTTAATTAATTCCAAAAAGAAGGGATGGTGATAACCGCATATATTCATTATCTGAATTTATATAAAAATATATTCAATCTTACAATAAATAAATTATGTAGGTATAAAATTATATATATTATAAATTTGTATATTTGCTTAAAAAGCCCTTTGTCGACTTGTTGGGTTCTCATACTATAAAAAGGCTCCGATTGCAAAGAGTTAAAACCCCCTGGTACCGGAAACAAAATTCTGTTCAGTTTTGTTTTTGTATATATCAGTGCTCAAAATTGTAAATTTGTATAAACATCCACAATATAATTAGCAGAATAGAGGAAAACAAGTGTAAGGGTCCATTTATGATATTTGAACACATATGAATGCATATGTATAATTTTTCTATTGTAGAATTGATTTTGGTATTGCAAATGGGAAAAGAGATGATCGTTCCAACTTTTGCAGATTGTATAATATTTAATTATAAGTCTTCAATGTTTAAAGGTTCGTTTTACTCAAATTAAAATCAAATGGACACTCAATCATTTCCCCTGTACTCTTCATTTGTCATTCATGAAAGTCAAGTCTGTTATACCAGTCAGTGAAATCCATCGTTTCGTGTACAATCTAACGAAAACAAAAAAAGAAAACTGCAAGAATTATCGAATCAGATTATACCAATGAAAGAGTTCGCCCGACGCGATACGGTAATTAATTTAACGACTACTGCATTTCGATTCGTAATTGAAGACCGAGAAGTGCACTTGAAAAATTGCAACACGTCGATTATCCGAGTATCGATTATTCCAATTATCGGTTGTGTGGAAATTAATGACCAGTTTATCGATTATCCGTTACATTCCCCGCATTGTTTCTTCCTGCAATTATCAGGCCGCTTGCATGTTCTGAAATGTGCTTTCATTTAACGAAATTTAAATTGAAATTTTAAAGCTTCATATTGTTTATAACATCACATGTACAGGGCGTCAGGTAATTTGTGGTACAATCAGGTAGGGAGAAGATTCTATGTGAAAAATAGGTCGAAAATATAGAATAACATTTTTTCATTTGTTACTTCAGTTTCGAGAAAATCGTGTTTGAAGATTCATCTAAAACGCCTGTATTCGTGTTGGGAATAAGTAGAAACAGAATGTTATGAACAGCCGCGTTAAGCAAGTCCTATTCAATCGCATGCATATTCAGCAGTTTTTTAAAGTCAACTTTCTCGAAAACTAAGTCTCAAATAAATAAATGTTATTTTATATTTTCGACTTATTTTTTTACGTAGAATCACCTACACGTTGCACCACCGTTTACGGGACACCCTGTATATTACGAAAGCGCGCGTGAATAGTCGGCCCCGATTACGGTGGACCAGGTTTCTTTCCGGTCACGAAGCCAGAAGCTACTCGAGTCTCCAGGCTACTCGACACGCGTGTTTCAAGTGCTCGGGACAGCTCCGGTAACGAGCGAGCAACCGGTGAAGCAACTTTATCGCATGAAAATGTGGCCAGCCTTAGCAAAGTGAGAGTCACTGTTCGGCGACGTGACGTCAGGCAAGGTCAACTGAGCGTTTCAACGGGACTGATGTTGATTCAGCATCTACCAATTTTCTTTCCATAAAATTCCCTAGACGCGCTCTACGCTGGAAAGCGTCCTGTTGCTGTCTCTTCTATCGCTTCGCGTTTTGAAAGGAATTCTTTTTTTTTTCCTGTTAGAAATACTCGAAACTGTTTAGAGGTTCTTCTGTTACCAAAAATGATAGTTCGAGAGTTTTTTGTAACATCGGCAACTTTTTAGAGTAAGTGGGCTGAGGATTTTTATAGAAGTATTTTTGTGGCTTAATTTACGAGAACTGGACTATCATGGAAATTAATGTCCTTTACTATTATACGAGGTTTGAAATAAAATAGAAACCTCCTTGAACTTTACCAAGTTCTTAATTACACTGAACTCTTGACAGTTGTGTGCGCTATAAATGCATGAAGTTTGCAATTAAGTAATAAAACTTAATGTCTGGTACACTGTATATGCTAATTGCGCATGTTTAATTATACAATGTGATTACGTGATGCTTTTATACAATAATTTATTCCTTTATTCTCGTAGAATTTATGTCTATACTTCTTTTATTCTTCTTTGATAGTTTGCTTAGATATTGCTAATGTGTTGGATATCAAAGGTGTCAGCGAACTGATGTTGCAATGTGAAAAATGTCGATTAGATAAAAATTATTCTACGAGCAAGTCAAAGTTGAAAAATCGAATGTTACGACAACATTTAAGTGTTACTTGGCTCGTGTGTCTGTTCATTACCGGTTATTTCTACTTAAATAAATGTTTATTGTCATTGACATGGTCTGGTATTAGTCATTTCCAACGACCATTTGATAAAAATTGATAGAAAGTACTAAAATTAATGGAGAACAGGAAATACCGCCTGTCTTCACTATTTAGGTATTACAAGTAGAATTGGTCAGTAGTAGACAGACTCATTATTTTTGGTGAATCATCCGCTCACTTTACAAATATGTGTCATAATAATTCAAGTCAGAATTAACAATTATAATTAATATTAGGGTAAACTTTGATTAGTATAGTTCAGGTTAGATTAATATAAAATATTTTTTTAGAATATAAAGTGTTTATTTTATACAAACTTATTGATAATAAATTCTTGTTTCCTCGGTATTTCTCGTACTTTTATCATGAATTTTTAATCTGTCACGCATAGATTGAATTTTCTTCATGATATTTTGTTCGTATGCTTTTCTGTCACTTTCAGTAATAAGGATACTTTTGTAAAATAAATTGTACATGATTTTGGAAAATGTACTTTCAATATTTTTTTCCCATAAACTGCACATATTTTTACAGTCGAATGCATTCTAATCTGTACCATATTGATCAAGGTTTATGCTATCTAATGCAAATTACAATTAGTATTTCCAATTTTTACATTAACTCAATACGTGAGATATGTTATATGTATAGGGTGGACGAATACTTTGGTGACTAAATATACATATACAGGGTGTAACAAAAGTGTTGTAGGTCCCTGAAATGGGTCGCTCGTGAAGTAATTTGGGACAAGATTTTCCTTAGTAAAAATGTTATCCAAGGCGTTGTTCGTGACATATTAACGAAGAACCCCGACCAATCAGAGCGCAATTCTGTCGGCCGAGTTCTAATTGGTCGGAGTTCTTCGCCAATATCTCGTTAACAAAGCCTCGAATAACATTTTTGCTATGGAAAAAACTTGTTCCGAAATACTTCCTAAGTGAACTATTTCGGGGACCAACAATACTTTTGTTACACCCTGTATATTGGAGATAGTAGGTACCTACTGAAGACTGAACTGTGTAATAGAATCTGTTAAAAGTACCCACAGAAAAATACACACACAAATACGTGAAATAACACGGTAGAATTCAGTAGGCTGAATGTTATTTATAAGATTTGAAGTAAAAATGAATTTCAAGGTTGGCTTCAACAACAGCTTGCAGTGAGTTCCGTTAAATTTCATCCATTACACAGTTTTATTTATATCCTTTTTGCTCTTCTTCTATTTTTCCCCACGGGTATTATTATTAGTAGTAAAATTCCGTACTAAATTTAACGCTCGACTCACCGGCAAAGAATTCATTAAAGCTTCGCTCGATTTCAATACACGGACGAAAATTCTGTTGTACGATCGATTTCTGCGATCCCCGCAACAAGCGTGTCCAGTTCCCGTGATTTATCGCCGTTTTCGATTGTAGAGATCGTTTTCTCTAGCATTTCACGAACAAAGGCCCCGGAGCAGAAGTGTGTCCCATTAGTGGCCGTGAAAAGATTAACGAGTCTATCCGCGAACTACAAGAATCCGGGTGATCGATGCAGACCTAACCCAGACCTAGCCTAAATACTACAGCGAGGCTATCGTGTCGGTCGAGATCATAGATGAATTATACGTCTATGGTCGAGATTCGGTTCGGAAACAAAATAATATTACTATGATCTCGAGGGGAAATTGGTTGCGCTATTATTATGAGATTGCTCATTTCATACAGTTTTTACGTAGATATAATAAGTCACAGGGGTATTCGTACCCTCGCAATTTTTTAATTAGAATGATTAATATTCTATAACAATATACATTCTGAAACGTTTATCAATAATGATATATCATTGATTGAAAATAGTAGTACACGTAAATGGAAACTGAAGCAAATCATATCACATTTTCGATCGGACTGCTAATAACAGAGTAATTTCTACTGATCACGATTCGTCATTCACCTTGTATGCAAAATACAATTATGGTCCACACACTGATTTCCGTGTCTTTGCACCTGAAACTATGAATTTACCTAAAAATATACAGTCTACTACTGAGAAATAAAAAAAAAAAAAAGGAAAAAGAATAATTATCTCGGTTTAAGAATTTACTTATAAGAAATTCTGAATAGCAAAGGATAATCAATAATTTACGGTTTCGATTGTTCACAGTAACAAGTGCCTTAACGAAAAAAGACGACGGACCCAGGAGCACGTGATAATCAATGAGCTTACCGAGCTGATTTTCGCCACGGACATGAGCTCTGGCAAGACTGACAAATGCCAGATCTTTCAGAGAACCGTCGACCAGGTAAGAAAACAGATTCTCGAGTTTTTGCCATTCAAATGGCTGATCGATAAACTCTCGGCGCGAGAGTCCTTCGAGATCCGATCGAAAACGTTGCTTTTTTCACGACGGTTTGTCACGTATATACGGTGTAATCGGCGAACTGCTTTCCGTTTATTTTTTTTTTCAGACCAATCTCCTTCAAAACTTCAATGCCTTTTAAAATGTAACTATACAGGGTGTAAGAAAAATGTTAGAGGAGATGGAAATGAGAGACTCGTGAGGTGATTTAAAACAAGTTTTTCCTTAGCAAAAATGTTATTCGAGGCTTTTTTAACGAAATATTAACGAAAAATCCCGATCAATCAGACCTTGGTCGGCAGACTTGCGCTTTGATTGGTCGGGGTTTTTCGTTTATATCTCGTTGACAAAGCCTTGGATAAAATTTTTGCTAAGGAAAAACTAGTTTCAAATCACCTTACGAGTCTCCCATTTATGAGTTCTCCATTTTTGTTATACCCTGTATATCTCAAAGCTGATTTTCCTTTTTTTTCGGTCATACGCGATCGTTTCGTCTTTTAGTTATTTGTTTTTTACTGGTATTTTCTTGTCTTCGTGAAGATTCATAATATTCAGTGAGATTAATTGTCGACATTTATTTCGTTATTTCATAAGGGGTTAATGGAGTCCTGTCACGCTCGGATATTAATTTGGCGACATTTCTCTATAAATATTACGGCTCTCGTGCAAATTGCAATTTTGTTCACGTGAATAAATGACGTGACAGTCGGATCGTTTTACGAAAGGTGATATCTTCACCGATAATGTCAAATGTAACTTCGTTCGTCTCGTGAAAATCTGGACAAGCTTGAACCGTATCGATGTTAACCCCTTGTAAAGTGTTAACCCTCGAATGGCAAAAGGACACGAGCTCTTTTTTGCTATTTTCATAGAGGTAAAAAAACATTATCTTCAACTCGTATTTTTGTTTATTTATATAATAAGGAATAATAATTGAGTTATTTAACATATAATAATACAAATATTAAACGTTCACTGAACAATAAAAAATATTTTTAAACGAGAATAATACAAAAATACTAAAAAGTAGAGTAGGGACAGCACTAGAGGAATTATAACTTGGGTCAGATACGATCCAGACCGTACGATTACAGGATTGGTTAAAATTAATCGAAGTTGGTCGAAATGGCCCTTATTCTTGCGGTCTCAGCAGACGGGGAATAAAGTCGGGCAATCGAGGTGCTCGAAGTGTCGTAACACACGTTCCGATTTGCTGTAAATTATGCCCGAACGAGGCAAATCCCTTAGACTATCGGCGATCGGGAACACGTTTATGCAAGCATTTCGTAGGTGAAATGCGTCTTGTCGATCCGAGCATTCGACCAGCACACAGTGGTATAGAACGCCTATTTCGGAGTTCAGAAGCTTAATTTGTGTGTAAAAATGGGAATTTCAAAGCCAAACTTGGTAAGCATGTATGCAATTTCTATTCGAGTTCATATTTATTAAAAAAAATATATATAAAATTAATAAGTGACGTTTTTTAACAATAATTTATTTTAAGAGAACTTGTGATTGACAATGATGAACTCTGTAAAAAGAAAGAAGTTTATATTTTGTTTATAAAGCAATTATTATTAAAAAACATTACTTATTAATTATGTATGTTTTTAATAAATATGAACTTTAAATATATGCTTACCAAGTTTGCTTCCGAAATTCCCATTTTTACACCCAAATTAAGCTTTTGAACTCCGAAATCGGCGTTCTGGACCACTGTGCAGCGTTTCCATTCTTAGAAAATCGTTCGCGTCCGTTTTATAATTCATTGAATTTGCGAGGAACGCGTGAACGGGATATTGGTATCGCGAATAATCCGTTGCTCCGGTGACATTTCTTTCTTTTTTCTTTTTTGTTTCATCTTCTTTACGGATTCGTTCGACGGCGAGAGTCGTTAATCGCGAATTATCGCGGGTCCGGTTCTTATGACGCCACGTTGTACCGCCCGTTATTCTTGAACCGTACGATCGATAAGGTATTTACTCGCGTATCGTTTAAGTGCAATAAAAATTTCAACGCATGCGTGTGTACTGCCTTGCATTGATCCTACGACGCCTCCGGGAATAATGATTTCTTTCACGCCTTTCCTCGCTTTTGCTTCATTTTGGACTGTTTTAACGATGTGTTGTTTTATTTCTTTTTTTTTTCTCGGTCCATTCGGATGCAAACGTCGCACCGCAGAGTTTCACTACATATTGGCACTTGACTTCGTTACTTGTTTATATTAGAACGATAAGAAACTGAAACTGTCTTCAGACTTCTACTTCTGATTGTGTGTTTCAACAGTATTCGTTGTGTGATATCCGAGAAGAACGACAAATGAAATATGTCGGAAAATTGAACGAAAAACAAAATTATATTCTTTTCGTAGTATTATATACTTCTTGTATTTTTAATAGTATTACTTGTTCATTTTCGTAGTTTTTTTTTTGTAAATTTTTATGGATAGTGGTGTATACATGTATCGACGGGGTGTCCGAAAATAGTTGTACCTAAGTCCTTGAAAGGAGTGATTCCTGGGGTAATTTGAAACAATTTTTTCCTTAGCGAAAAAGTTCTCAGAGGCTTTGTTAACGAGGCATTAACGAGAAATCCCGACCAATTAGAGCGCGAGTCTGTCGGCTGAGCTCCTACGGTAACGTTGGTTACGTTCTATAGGTTAGAAAATAGTAAACAGAAATAAGAACAAACTTACGTTATTTAATTTTACTTAAGAAATATAAAAAGAGGCATTTAGAATGTGTATACTATAATAGATCGCGAATTTTTTGCTGATACGAAAAGTAAAATTGCAACTAGTCTTACGCGAAACTGTAAGCTGATTGTATACGAATTGGGTTGATCCGTTCGAAAACGTGACACGATATCTTGCCGATTAAATAAAATAATCAGACTTTCGTTCTCCTACATTTCATGTAATACACCATTTTATCGCGGCAAGTGTATTATCGCAGCAGAACTTTGTACTACATATTTGAATCCGTTACAGTTTTTCTTTTATTTTTAAAAGTCTCGACGCAACAGAATTCCTTAATTTTTGGAACATCCGAAACATTTTTACGACATTTTTTATTTAACCTTTTTTCTCTTTCAGTTTTCCTATTCAGAAAAGGAAGCATAATTTTGTGTCGCGTATTACATTAAAACAATCATGTGTTTTCATTCATCTACTTTCATAGATTCCATTTGTCCAGAATTTTTTGAATTTTTTTTATTAGTTAGTTTTAGACAATTTATTTTATTAGTTGTAGCATTAAGTAATCGAATATTTATCGATTTTTACTGTGTTTTTTATACTGATAATGAGTTTCCAATGTCCTATAACACTTTTTTTTAATTAGAATTATTTTTAATTTAAATATATCATCTTATAGTTACAAAAAATAGTGGATTACTTACTGATACACTTAATGATATAATACTTGAAAAGTGAAATGTAGAGTTACGTATTTGAACTTTTGTAAAATATAACAAAAAATTAGTATTAATTAATGTCTTGGAGGCTTGGCCTGCGTTTCATTATACTCATATATTTACATGATTAAAGATATGCCAATCTTCGCGATGAGATTTCGAGTGGTCAGATAATTCAAATGAAATTGGTATATTAATCCTCTAAATTAGGATAATCACGCAATTTCTCATTTCTCACTGACTTCATGTCGATCTTGCGGGAAATTACAAACGAACCCGTTTTCAGGCTTTCATTTCCGTCGGTTTTTATTGCTATTAATTAGGTATAGCTAACGATTACTGGAATGTAGTTACTCGTTTAATTTAATAGTTCTCCTCATATATATTTGATTCTGAATAATTAAGATAATGGATTAAAACCGATTTTTCAAAAAACCTACTGAATAGCTATTTATTACAATACTTAACAAAATTTTATCTAATTATCCACATAAAATTTAAATTTTTGTTAGTATTTGGAGATACAACCATTGAAAAAAAACTTTAAAAGTTTCGGTGTTAGGATTCAACAGAATATTTATTGTTTTCTAGGTTGAATTTTCTTTATATTATCGTGAATTTATATTCGTTGATTGACTCACTAAATTTTATTGAACAATTTAGTTAGGATAGTTGAAAACTCGGGCGACGATATGTATTTGGTTTGACACGATCATCCCCGCTAGTTACACAACGTTTTCGCTAAGGCCGCGCGACGAGAGCCCTTGAGACTCATTACGTATACACGCGACCGGTCCCGTGCTCGGCGAGCTGAGGCGAACCCGCTCCGAGATTTCGGATCTAGAAAATCTTAAGAGCCGGTGACATGTCGTAACTGTGCCTAATAGCGAGCGAAGGACCGAACTCCATTGAAATTTCAAGCAGGTTCGACCGGATCGGTATCGCCCAGGCTGTGACGGTCTTCGGGACGCCTGGGGAAATATTCAACCTTATGGGAATTCTGATTCGATCGATCGAATGTCAAGGATATCGTTAATGGGAGTTGACTTTCAACAGGTACATTTAGTTGGTACTAGGTGTACCAGTGATTGATCCTTTACGTTTTTAACCCGCTAACTGTATCTGTGTAACAATAGAGACGCCTATTTTATCAATTTAGTGACAATATCTGGAACATTTCTTGCCGATCGGTAGTACGAAATTTCAATAAAATAAAACAATGATTTCATTGAAATTTAATATCATTTATGTGCTGTTACTAATATATTAAAACCTTTAACGCAGGAAATAAAATATTTGTGACTTCTGAATTTCATATATCAGTGTCGAAAATTATGAATTTGCATAAACATTAACAGAGCCAAATACGTATTATGCAAAATTCGTCGATTTGTTAGTTTCAATCTTGATCTGTTTGTTACATTAAGTTTCGCAATTGTTGGCGGATTTTCGAACATAAAACGCGATAACAAAGGAAAAGCTGCATTTAAGCTGGCTAAAAATCCATTGTTAATTCTCACAAATTGCAC